GCCGCCTAAGTCAAATGATGATAAGGATTAATGTTAAAGAAAAAAGAAAAAAGAAATTCAAAAATAGTAAGCAATTAATGTTGTCCTAAAATTTCTAGTTACTATTTATGGTAAATAGTAATTCTTATTATATATATATAGATTATGATATTATTATTAAAATTATATTAAAATAAGGGTATATTACATGTTGTGACCATTCTTGTTATGTTTTTCGTTACTGTTTTGTCGTTCTTGTTCCCCCGTTGTAGGTCTTTTTGTTAGTTTTTAGTTCGTTTTGTAGTTTGTTGTGTGTTTTGCTCTATTTTGGTTTTTTTATGTGTTTTTCGTATATTTTGTCGGTTTTCTGCGTTTCTCTTCTTGTCTTTGGTGTGCAGGTCAGAAGTCCCGTGAGGAATGAATTTAGCCCGAAAATCGACCGAACAATCATGGTTGCGTAGAGGAGTTCCTTAGCTACACATAGGAAAAAGCGAAATCCAATTTCGAGTTCGGACGAATCCGAACGGGGCCGAAACGTAAAGTCCAGCAAACTACCGACCCTTCGAAGGTTGGAAGACCCTAGAGGATTGTATTCTGGGAAAAAGTTGAATTTGAAAGCATCATTGAATAGAGGGGTTCGTTAGCGATGCGTAGGAAAAAACGGAACTCAATTCCGAGTTCGAACGAGCCCAAACGTGCCCGACACGCAAAGTCGTGCAGCCCAATCTTTTTCTTAACGACGCTAACCCCCCTGGCGGACAACATGTTTTTCTTTCCCTCAAATTCCGGCCTGTTTTGATGGTGCTCGAAAGTGGGGATGCTTGGACCAACATTTCACCCTTGATTTCGGTTTTTAGTGCCCAAGAAAACTTCCCACTCATGATATATGGATCACTCTCCATCTTCATCATGATCATCCATCCTTGAACCACCCAAGGGGGTTCTCCCCCTCTCCTATTCAAATTCTCCCTCTCTTTCTCCCCTCTTATTTTCTATTTCTTCTTCTTGTATTTTCTTTATTTTGTCTTTTGGATGAAGCTTGTATGTGAACTCAACACTTGGAGATTGATATGTAAGTTTATTTTCTCTTTGAATTAATTCATGCATAATGGTTAATTTAGGAGAAATGTTTTGTTGTGTTGAATTTGATATGAGTAGCTAATCCTTTAGCTAGGGTTAGGAGATAATTATTTCGATTTGTTCTCATTTACGTGCATGACGATAACTCAATCTTGACGAGTTGTTTTAATTATGAATTGATAAAATCATGCTTGATAAATTGATATAACCTAAGAGTGACACTTAGGTTAATTTGTTGATATAATCGAAGATTGACACTTCAATTTGTGATTGAATATTGATTTGTTGGGTTAGAGTTTGTTAATTATACATGATTAGTTGATTAAACACCTTCTAATCGAATTGCAACTTTTAGAACCGAAAGGGGAGGAGTCGTAGAGATAATCGATGTCAAAACCGAGAGGGGAGAAATTGGTGGAATTTGGCTCGTTTAGAGTAGATATGTTCGGAGACGTATTGTGTATGTGTTAATTGTCTCATTAATTTGCTCTTTTATGTTTATCCTCATATTACGAGAGTTAGTGAGGTTAAACCGCTAAATGAGTTAGTTAGTCGAACCATTTAACCGAGTTATTGATTGTTGTTAAATGTGTGTAGAACCGGAAGCGATTATTCCTGATACCCTAGCTCGTTTATCTTCTTATCGTTTATATTCTTAGGTAGATTATCGTCTTATGTTATTTCTTAGTTGATAATTTTTCAACCCTATCCTGATTAGAATGTGTAAGATTTATTTTACTTTTATGTGTTATCGATATCAATACTAAATTCCGAACCGTCTTCCTCGAGAGATTGACCCGAGAAACGAATCATTCGATTCAGTGCTCGGTAAAATATAAATAATTTGCTACAACATTACAAATTAACAATTCTATATCCTTTCAAAGGTATGTTGCTTGGGTTGATGTTAGGTTGATTATTTTTAGATATGTGAGAAAGTAGTTTGAGTGATACGTGGAAGAAATCAAATTATTGAAAAAGCTTTCACGTTGGAAGTTTCTGGGTACATTAAGCTTTCATTAAGGAAGTTTGTTATTCTTATAAGCTTCCTTCTGGGACGTTTGATTGTATGCTAAGTTTTCTTTGTGAACGTTCCTCTTCACAGTCGGGCATTACAGTAAGACGTTTGTTTGGCTTCAAAGCTTAACTCTAAGACGTTTCATAGGGCCTTAAGCTTCCTCCTGGGATGTTTAACTGTATGATAAGCATGGATTTTAAAAGTTCTAAATGTGTTGCCCTTTCTCTTTTAGACGTTTAGCTTAGAGTCGGGCTCCGCGTTTGGACGTTTGTTTTTACAGTCGGGCTTCTACGTTGAACGTTTCTTTGGCTTCCAAGTTTAGCTCCTAGATGTTTGCTTTCAGAGTTGGGCTTCACAGTAGGACATTTGTTTGGCTTTAAAGCTTAACTCTAGGATATTTTACATGGCCTTAAGCTTGCTACTGGGACGTTTAACTGTATGATAAGTTTGGATTTTAAAAGTTATAAATGTGTTGCCCCTTATCTTTCAGATGTTTTGCTTCAGAGTCGGGCTTCATGTTTGGACATTTGTTTTCACAGTCGAGCTTCTACGTTGGACGTCTCTTTGGCTTCCAAGTTTTGTTGTTAGACATTTGAATGTTTTTTTTTTTCAGTAACTTTTTTTTTATCACAGGGACATCTTTGTAAATTTATTATTTTTTACGGGCAACAAATAGTAATTTGGGACGACAAATAGCAATTCTCTTTTTATTTTTGAAATAAAAAAATATTTAAAAAACAAAAAAAATATAAAAAAATATATGGGTGGGGTCAAGCGGATTGATCCGGTCGGGTCAATGCTCTAGGTCAATCGGGTCAAAGCCGGGTTTGACCGGGTCCATTGTTACCTGGTCCAAATAGCCTACCCGGACCGGTTCGATCTCCGGGTCGACCGGGTTGTATTCAATAAATACAATTTGAACATGTGTTAATACATTAAGTGGTGAATGGCTCCATAAAAAAATAATTAGATAATTATGGGCATGATTGTATATAATTTCAACAGTAAATATCTCACTCAAAACTCAAATTTAACTCAACCTTAACTCAACTCTACTATCTCCAATATTATCAATATAATTAAATAATATCAATCAATCATTATTACACATCACATCAACTTTAATTCACTATTCATTCACTCACATAATCTTAACTAACTATCACTTCCAATCATTTTCTTCTACTTTTACATCAAATCAACTTTAATTATTTTAATTTAAATATTATTTTAATATATCCACTAACAACTAACCATACTACTTTTTTAAAACTTAACTATAGTTAAAAAAAACTAGTTTTTTACTAGTTGAACTAGTGTATATCCCGTGCGATGCACAGAAGAGTTCATATTTTAAACATTTTTTTAGACTTTATTTTAAATATAATCATTTACATTTTTCACATCTCGTCTATTATGAAAATAAAATAAATACAATCAATGAAAAATATATATTATTAAATACTTCTCTTTATACAATATTTTTTATTTAAGGAATATTATTAAACCTTACGGTTTTGATTTTTTTTTTTAATCAATAATCCAAAATATATGATTGTTAACGTACAAAAAATAATGGAAATAATCCAGACTTTAAAGTAAAGCTATTTTTTATTATTTTACAAATAAAAATCTTCCAATTTTTTTTAATTTCAAAAAAAGAAATTGGCAAGTTTGATAATGAGTTAAATCAAGTTATACAAATGATTAAATAGTTAAAATGTTATATTAATTATATTTTAAGAAATCCAATTATATAAAAATGGGTAAAAAAATATTATACTAATTAGTTTGTTAGGATTGTGATTATATGGAAGTTAAAATAAAATGAAATGTAACCAAAAAATTTGTTCGTGGTCTTTTCCTTTAAATGTTTGAATTTAAAAATCTAGTAACCAAATTTACATTATATCACGTAACGAAAAAAATAAATGATAAATATTTATTAAAGAGATAAATAATAATATTTATCATTTAGATAATAAATAATAAATATTTACATGTAATAAAATAAATAATAATATATTTAAAAATATAAGTCAGAATTTCAAATAAAGTAAAAGGAGGGATAACTCATTTTTTAAAAAAAGTTTCTAAATATTTAATATATTGATAAGTATCTCCATAAGAATAATCATACCATTTTAATTTTAAAAAAATTGGCAAGTTTGTTAGAGAGATAAATCCAGTTAGACAAATGATTAATATGTTAAGATATTATACTAATTGTATCATAAAAAATCGGTTAGATAATGTAGATAAAAAAATATAATAGTAATTACTTTGTTAGAAATGTGATAATGAAAACTAAGATAAAATGAAATTTACCCAAAAAAATTGTTTGGAATCTTTTCCTTTAAATGTTTATTAATATATTAAAATATGTAATTTTAAATTTCATATAAAGTAAAAGGTATGATAATTAAAATTTATTTTTAAAATAAAAGTTATGATAAACATTTATTGATTCTCTTTCAAATATAGTAATAAAATAAAAATATAAATCTAAACAAATTTTGAAACAACCAAAAAAATCGGATTGATTGTCATAAAAAAAGGAAGTGAAATCAGATTTGAATGCTAAAATCGGAACACCTTATCAAATTGAATGCTAAAAGATTCAATTTGATTAGTTACCTAATTGCATGGGCTGAAAAAATTCAAAAAAAGAATTTTACGAATTGAAGAAGCGGGAAAAACACTATATTGAAGCGGGAAAACGAAATGATTTTTTTCGGATTGTTCAAATAATTTTTCTTCTCCGTATTATATAATAATAGATTCATATCCAATCACCCCCTATATGTTTTCAACATATATATGAATACTTTATACTTGGGCGTGCTCTAAAAGTTTCAATATAAACAAAAAATTGACACTTAAATAACATAAGTGTATATTTTTATTAAATAAATATCTGTATGGCGAATCCATCCTCCTAATTTTTATTAATTAAAGAATAATTTTATCCCCCAATTCAGTTACACTCAAAAGTCTATTTTTTCAACTGAGAGTGCCCCATATACATATTCAAATTCCTCAATCAATTTGCAGTTCCAATTAAACTATTAGGGGTTCTCCTTTCATTTCACAAAACTGCAGTAAATTTGTAGTGAAAAAAACCCCCGAACTAATAAAAAAGCAATCTTCTTGTGAACTGAAAAAAAAGAAACTACCATCAGTAAGTGTTTGCCTGTACTTGCTTAAAAAACCAAGAATCTTAAAAAAAAAAAAGAACACCCAAGAAAAACTCATCAGCAAACAACAGGCAACTCATCGTTGTCCGATTTTCAGACCCTCCAAACAAAAAAACACACATTTTATCGGACCCCAGATTATGAAACCGAATCAAATCATCTCAGAAAAACCGGTCATCAACGAGAAAATGAGCAGGCTCGATTTTAGCAGCATGGCCATACTTAGAACAGCTGTACTTTTTGTGCACTCCAGTAAGCTTCTCGGTCCCCGCCTTCCGGTGCAGATCCACCATCAATTTAGCACATTCCCTTAAAAAAAATCGAACAACTCAATAATTTATCCAATGATTTTTTGTGTTTCATATAAGAAAGAGTTTTTTAAGTTAAAGAGAAAGAAAGCTAGCTTTACATGAGCTGGTCTTGGCTGTAACTCGTGTAACTCACGCACGTTTTGCTCCACTGCTTACGTCCGTTCAGAGTGCATTGAGCCGTGAAAACTGCAGCCGCAGCTAACAAAGAAGGCGGGAACTTAAGCATCTCGTAACTGACGAGGCAAAGCTCGGTTATGAAGAAGGATAGCATCTCCAACTGCTTTCAATTAAAAGTTACACAAATTCAGATTGAGGAAAAGAAGTATTACATTTGCAGACCAAGTAAAGAAAAGGAACAATAAAAAAAAAAAAAGAAAGAAAGAAAGAACCTTTTTGTCAGATTGAGCGGCTTTAAGAAAACGTCTGATGAACGGATATGGAGTGGGCAAAGACAGATTGAATTGCAATGTGTTGATCATCAGTTTCTCCTGCATGAAAAAGCATTTCAAGTGAAGATCGAAAAATTCTTTCTTTTTCTTTAATATCATTTGGGTGAGTGAGAGAGAGAGAGAGAGAGTACCATATCAAGAATTTCCTGACGGCAGTAAGCCTTATCGGATATGAAAATAAGGTCATCGACAATCGGTACAGAAACCTCTTCATATTTGCAAGCAAGGAGCATAGCAGTAACTCCAACAAGCTGTAGCTTCTTTCTCAACACGGTTTTCACTGCCAAGAATCTATCGATTATGTTCACCATCAGATATAATGTCTCGTCCATCAGCTCGAATTTGTAGTGCACCTGTACACATAAGCATGCAATGTTAATTAAGCCAAGACACGCTAAAGCATTAAACGAACGGTGAAAAGGATACTTTAGCATGACAATAAGATTTTTCCCTTTTTTACCTCAATCAGCCAGTCGATAAGGATTCCCCTCATTCTCTCATTGATATCAGATTGATGTGCCATGTAGTTTGGTGGCACACAACTTGTTCTCTGCAATTACAAGTCACACAACTCAGAACCAGAAAAGAATGTGGAAATAGATATAAAGGGTTAGTATATATAACTGTAAAAAACTACAAAGACTAAACCAAATAGAAAAAAAATTATTTGATTAGCATCCTCCTCTTATATGCATGAGGCTATTTCTATTCCCTAGTATTATACAATCATACAACATACAACAACACACATTAAGGGCTCACTTTTAAGGGAGAAAAAAATGAACCTTTGCCAACTAGAAGCTGAAGATTGTTTTTTTAGTTAGTGTTTTGTACACTCTCAGATAGTAACATAAGTGGTATCAGCCGCAACCGAGATTCAATTATTCGATCTTGACAGGCAAAATATGAAGAGATGATTTCTCACCTCAGTTTTCAGATAATAATCGTGTATATCATCAATGTACTCAGTAACCGCAAGCGCGTTTTTCTTATCGACACAATCTATATCAACCACAGGCTCATCATCCCCATCAATCTCCTCCATTTCCACTTCCACATCCTATCAATCAAATTTAGCAACATAAGCAAAGTGCATATTTATATTTAAAAAAACATCCCAAGATACTGGAGGATATAACACATGAACTGAATACCATGCTATCAATTTCCTCAAGCATAGCTTCTGTATGCTGCACGAACATGGGCACGTCATTTTGATCCTCTTCATCTATGGCGTCTATAATAATACAGTCCTCCGCACTGTTTGTGGTCGAAATTGATTGCACCACGGCTGGCTTTAATTTCTACACCAACATGAAGTTCAATTATTTCTTAATTGTTTAGGCACTACAAAATAGCCAAACTGTAACAACATTGGCAGGATTTATGCCCGAAAAGGAGAAAACAATGCATTTCATTGAAACTCCGGAAATTTCTTGATTCAAGGTCTAAATTTCTTCTGCCACACTATCTACATATGAACCCATTTTCAAAATATCAGATGTTTTATTTATAACAAGAAATATATACCTCAAGTGATGGATGCTGCTCTTTGACAGCCACTTGTGCAGCAAACCTCCTGAATTCACCCAAAAAATTAAAAAAATAAATTAAATAAAATCAAATTATATGAATATCCATCGGCCCTTCAGCCTTTTCCCGAAATCAAGAAAGGTCGGATTTGCAAACCTAGTGACAGGACGGTGAACAGGAACATGATTCTTACTACAGGCGTCGGTTTTCCTGAGACAAGATTTAGAATTCGATATGACTAACAGACTAAGCAATTAAGACTGATTCATTAATGGCAAAACATGAAACACAAGTATACAAATAATCATTAACATTAATTTTACGTACTCTTTCAGGGTCCCTCGTTTTACAACAGCACGAGGGGGAGGGGGAACTCCAGTTATGTTCGCATTAATAGCACTCAATGCCCTTCTATTCTTCCCAATACAATTTTGGCCTCCTTGCACCAAACCCCCTAAAAATTCACAGTTTTTTCAGAAGAAAAAAACAAAGAACTTCAATCAGACGACCATTACACAATCAAGATCTTACGTTGCAACTCGTAATAAAAATCGGATCTTTAACCGTTGTANAACGAACATCAAATATCAACGGATAAAGAAATAAAAAATCAGATCCAAAGCCTAAATCAGGAATACACACAACACAACGCGAGAGGAAATACAAAATCAAAAACCCAAAAAAGAAAAAAGGGCCAACCTCAAAATCAAGAAAATCCCAGTTCCTTCTGTATATTCAATCAAGAACCCGATAGAGATATGAGAAAGACAGTAAAGAAAAACCCCGTTAAAATCAATCGATGGACAATGAGAGATCACTTTGAAAAAAGCTCTCGCTCTCTCCCTCTCTCTCGCTCTCTCCCTCTCCCTCTCTCTCTCTCTCTCTCTCTGATCGAAATTTTCTTGCAGAGAACGCAAAAAGAGCAGATATATCTGTGTCGGGCTCACATTACATGCCTCGCAATTCTCTCTCTCTCTCTCTCTTCACGTATTTTGAAAACAACGGCTAGTTTGTAATCTAATATGCTCTACGACGAAAGGTTGTGTTTGTTCCTTGTTTGGCCCAACGGTTATTTTCATCTTTTTTTCTCCTTTGAGTAAAAGAATAATGTAAATAATGTCATTTATTTTTTACGCCTCTCAAATCTCGTTGTATTAAAATTGCCTAAGTTCTCCATTTAATTTCTCATCCTGCATTAAAAAACTGTTTTTAATCGCCCTTTTTGGTTTATTTCTCCTAATCCGAAAATTTTTAATGTTTTTCTTGTGATAATGATGCTTAAAAAAAATATTTTCTGTCACGTGCCAAGCGTATCCTTATGATCTTTCCTTGTATGAATATCACACCTGTTCATGATACATAACTAGTCAAGTTCCAAAATTCACTGCATAAAATCCACCTTCTGCCACTTATAAGGCCTTAATTATGTAATCATGAGATTATACAATAGATTGATCCAATTTAGCCTTCACAAATTCTTGTGAAAGTATAATTGTTAGGCGGGTCCACATATTATATTTTTCTTTTAAGAAATATTATTATAATTATGCTAAGAAATATCATATTTTTATTTATATTATCTTTTAACATCTAACATTTCAGTTTCAAAGTGTGTATTTTTATTGAATAAGTATGACTATATAATTGTCATATGATAAGTTTGCCTAATATCAGTTTTAATATTTTATGAAATTACTAAAATATATAATGCAGGTATAAAAAAAATATTTAATAAGAAATACCCGCAGATGAAAAAAATATTTGTAATGCATATATATTACATTATTTTATACCACGAAACTGGTGTTATGCGTTTGTTCTTTAGCATATACTAGTATTCTCACCTGTGCGATCGGGTGATCCACAGAAGGAACAATATGCAACATAAAAAAATCCCAAGACATGCATTATATTTTTGTTTAATTACAAAATTAATTTAAATTTTATTTTGCAACATGATTAATTTCATTAATATAGTATATAGACTATTTCTCGGTTCGACTCGACTTGGCTAAGTAAGTTGCTAGTTAAAAAAAAATATTTTTGATTAAATTCAACTATGACAGATTCATGTATTTATAATATTTTTTAAGCAACAGAAATAACTCCGCCGGTTCGACCTACCAAATTGACCTTCACAAATCTTCTTTTTATTATTATTTAGAATTTTTAAATATTATAGTTTTATAAACAAACAATAACTGTGGGCATTTTGACTTATGTAGCAATATTTATGACAACACATAATAATATTTAAATTTTAAAATATTTATTTTATATAGAAACTAATTATTTTGTTTTCATAAATTTACAAAAATAAGTATATATACAATTTTACAAATTTTAAAACTATTTTTTAATTACACAATTAATCTACTGACGCAGTGGCTATCCATGGTCAATGCCGGGATGAGTTTTTAAATTGTAATTTCATATAAAGTTTTTGAAATAATTACTTTATACAATTATAAAAAATAGTAGTTGTTAAACTATGTTGAGTCAAGAATTTATTTTTTCAATTATTTTATTATATTGAGTATAACATGTATCACATTTTTTCAATACTTTTATTTTAAATTAAATTTTCTTTTATTTTATTTACTTTTATTTCATAATAGGTATGCACACACATGCAATGGAAAAGTTTTCCACCACCACAATGTGATGATTTTGATTTTGAAATAACATCCCATGGAGCGTGAACATGCCCATGAATTTTCTTCCTTTTTTTTTTACCTTAAATTTTCACTCTCAGTTACAACAATTTTGAAGACAATCTGGCAATCATTCTCTAATTAGTCACTTTATAAAGAATCGTTCACACAACCTTTTGAACTTATACTAGTGTGAGTATATAACATTTGAAGAAGGTAAATTAGTTCGTTGTTTATTGAATACTAGTGTGTGGCCCGTGCGATGCACGGGAAAACAATATTTTGATTGTATTATAAATTGAATAAATAAATAACATTAATCATGATTTATCCATTATTTTTAAATTAAACCGGGTTGGACACAGTATGACCGGATGGACCGAGAACCGGTTTATAACCAGTCTAGTGCGTTTGAATAAAATATTTGCTATCGAATCTTCAACACCAGTCTGTGGATTGGTAGGATCGATACAATTTTCTAAACAAATTTTGTTACATTAAAAACAATTTTAAATAAAATAGAGATTTATAAATTGTTTATCAATTAATTTAAATATTTGAATTTATAAATTGTTTAGATATTTAAGTAACACTTTTTATTTAAATTAATTACAAAAAGTACTAAAATTTGAACAACCACAAATGATTTAATAAAATAACTTGATCGTTTCGATGACGGTACGGTTCTAAAAACCTTATATTTACCGTACATTAATAAAAAACATAAATCATTAATCATGTTGTCATAAAAGTATTGTTAATATGATTATTTAAAGTTTGGACTACATCACATTCACGTAATAAAGTATTTTCAATATTAAAATTTATATTTAGGTTCAATAATCGATTTGGTCTGGTCAAACTGATACATAACTTAGTTACCTGGGACCAACTAAGTTGTTTCAAAGTTTTTTGACTATTTTAAATATCACCTAAAAGTAATTCAATCAACGTTGGCAGTACCCTAATTCAATCACCCGATTGATCCAAAGTAATTTCCTTATTTTTTTTAGATATAATATTTAATTTTATGAAATAAAA